TCTTCTTCTTCTTCTTCTTCTTCTTCTTCTTCTTCTTCTTCTTCTTCAATTTTTTTTCCCGTTTGGCAAAAGGGGTATGGGGTGCAGCAGACTTAGCTATTGAGGTCTTATTTTTCTTCTTAAATAAGAATCTCTTACTTCCTTTAAAGAATTTGCAAAGAAATAAATATTACACAGAAAAGCCACTCAAACAAGCCCTGTCCAAGGTCCAAAGTCCATGTCTTCAAAAGTCTAAATAGAATTTAAATAGGCATCTAAATAGAAGTTAGTTGAGATTGCATGAACTTAAAAGAAAGTATATCCATCTTTGTGATCTTTGCCAACTGAGAATAAAATATTTGATATTGCTCCAGACATGAGAAAGTTAGATGGCAATGCACAGTGAGAATGATATTACAGATGCCATAAGGATCCTTAAGGAGAGGCCTAATTATGAGGTCAAGAAGACATTGGATATTTTACCTGAGATCATGTCCTTAAACTAACCCCAAAAGACCTATTCCTACAAACCAACAAAATCTGTAGCTAGCTGTGGGGGAATTTGAGTGCTTGGCCCCTAGCTGCTGATGCTGTTTGGGGGGGTGCAGTGAGACCTGTAGGAGGCACAGCTTTGCTGGAGGAGGCCTTTGGCTAGGGCTGGACTTGGAGACTTACAGCTGCATGTCCTGTTCCCTCTCTCTTCCTGCAGGCAGGCAGGCCGTGCCTTGCCTTTCTTGTCACAGTGGATCCTCCCTCTGCAGCAATAAACCAAAATATACTCTTCTCTAAATTACTTATGGCATGGTCTTTATCATAGCAACAGAAAAATAAGACTTTTTCAGCAAGCTAGAGAACAACATCAATGAGCCTTTGCTGGTAAAGTACAATACTAGTAACCATATCAAGCACCTCTGATTAAGCTATTATTCCATCCATTGTAGAAATTGTGTGCTCCATGGATTCTGTGTTTTTTTTTCAAACTGAGTCATCATTAGAATCTTAAAATATATATGTACATATTATAGGATACACTATATATAATAGTATGATAATATATTATCCTATTTCATAAGTGAGGACACTGAGATACAGAATTAATGAATCATCTACTTGGTAAGTGGCAGAGGTGATATTCACAACAGATCTATTAATTCTAGAGTCATCACCTGATGAGCACAGCATGCTTCCTAGGCTCAATTTTATGTGGCCCCTATAGTCATGTCTGAGATAGAAACTGGGCTCCGACATGCTGTGCCTGCCAGCCTGAGAGTCTGAGATCACACAAGGTAAGGCAGATATATAGGCACAAATCCATCTTCTACCCTTGGACAAGGACACCCACTTATCTCCTTTGGAAGATGGGCTTGAGGAAAGAGTTGAATGATAATGAAGTGACTACAGGATAAGGCCTGCCCACCCTGATTTAGAGAGGAAGTTCCTATCAGGGGCCTAGAAGCTGCAACCCTCCAGTGCAAGTGTTTGCCCGAGGAGCTGCAGCCGTTTGGGAGCTCACAGAGGGATGGGAGCCTACACAATGTCACTGAGAGGCCATGGGCCTGGGGCTCAGTGGTCAGGCCTGCTTTCATTGACTCTCTGGGAAAATAATTACCAATGGGTGAGCTGCCAGCCAACGCTTTAACTCCCCCTTAGGCTAACTGGCCTCTGACCATGATCACCCCAAAGCAATGCTCTTGGGCACGGCCGCCTGGAATCCAGGCAGGGATGTCCGCCTTGCAGCGACGGTGTCCAGCAGAAGTGGGTGAGCCTCATGAGAGGGTTAAACCTTACCACGGACCCGAAGCCTGTGCCTGCTATCTTTCTAGGCAGGATGTCTGCACCAGTTGGTTTTATTGTGGCTATGATAGAATGCCTGACAGAAACAACTCAAGGGACCGTTTAATTTTTCCATTTGTTCATGGTTTTAGAGATTTCTGTCCGTCATTGCAGGGAGGGTGTGGTGGAGCATCATAGCAGCCAGAAGAAAAGAGAGGGGAGGGTTCCTGTGCTAGCAAGGATGCTGCTGGGCCCCATCGCTGTGACAGTGCCATCAGCATCCAGGGCATGTCTTCCTTCTGTGGCTCATCGTCTCTAAGAATGCCTGTAGAGACATCTTCAGGACGGGCTTTATCAGTCTCCTAGGTGCTTCTTAATCTAATCAAGGTGAAAAAAAATCAAGTTTATCTATCACAAAAGGCTACTGGGATCTGACAGAGAATGCAACCTTGAGCTACCGGGAAGGCCACAGAGTCCTATTCATGGTTGTACTTGAAAATGGACAAAGGAAATGGGATGCAGATTCTGCAAAAAACTATTTACTTTTCAGCAAATATCTAAGCTGGAAATGAATAGCTGTCAATCCAGTTCACTAGTGATGAGGTCGGATGAACGGGTTACTATCCACCTAGAAACAGGCTTGTGACTTCAAGGCACAGAACAGTGCTGAGCCATGTGACTGTTCAAAGTGCTTAACCTCCCGGAGTCTCAGTTTTCACATATTTCCTGCTTCTCAGGACTTCTGAGAGGATTAAATGAGACAATTCCTGTAATTGGTGTAGTACCATCAACTTTGGGAAGGCTTCCTAAAAACAAGATTTCTTTCACCTCTCTGGTGAGAAGAACCAACAAGCCTTGGCAGTTTTAATCACATGGTTGGTCCACAGTTCTCATCTTAAGTCCTTTCTCTGGTGCTGAGACATATTTCTTGAGAGGATGTTAAAGGATGCTAGGGCTCTTTCTTTCCTTTCTGCCCCCACCATGCCATCCAGGCTGAGGAGGACCTGGAAACTCCAAAGCCACATGAGCCACGGTCGCGACCATGTTGGTCAGCACCACAAGCACCGTGGGAATGCTGGAGGCATTCATCACCTCAGGACCGACTTCGACAAATATCATCCAGGTTACTTTTCAAATATCATCCAGGTTACTTTTGGGAACGTTGGTGTGAGACCTTACCACTTAAAGAGGAACCAGAGCTTCTGCCCAACTGTCAGCTTGGATAAGTGGTGGACTCTGGTCAGCGAGCAGACACAGGTCAGTGCTGCCGGAGCTGCCCCCTTCATTGATGTTGTGCACCCGGGCTACTGCAAAGTTCCGGGCAGGGCAGCTGTCATCACGAAGGCCAGATCCTTCAGCAGAAGCGCTGAAGAGAAGAGAAAGGCTGTTGGAGGTGCCTGTGTCCTGGTGGCTTAAAGTCACCCAGGGAGGCTAATTAAATGCTAACATTTAAAAAAAAAAAAAAGATGTCAGGAAAATTTGAGTTTCCTTTACGAAGTTTTAAGATGAGCATGATGTCCTGGCATCCTCTCCTCGGTCCACACCGCAAGCAGCCTGTTTGCTCACCACCACGAGGCTTTGCGGTTGGGTGCACTAGATGTCCCTCCCCCTCGGCCTGTCAGGACACCACAGTGATGGCCTGGGCATCCGCTCTCAGTTACGCATGTGAGAAGTTTCCTGAACACCAAAATGGCGGAGCAGGTTACCCTCTTCTGCCTTCCCGTAGCTTCAGGCTCCGCCGACTTGGTAACTGGAGTTCCTGTGCTTTAAACAGTGGTGTGTGTATATGTGCATGTGTGTGAATGTTTGTGTATGGATGCGTGCATGTGTGTGTGTCTGTGTGTGTCTGTGTGCATGTGTGTGTATGTGGATTTGTCTGTATGTTTGTGTGGGGGTGTCTGCATATTTGTGTGTGTATGTCTGCATGTGTGTGTATGCATGCATATGTCTGTGTGTGTGTGTGTGTGTATGTGTGCTTGCATGTGTGTGTGTGTGTAAACTTTTATATCTTAAAACTCTATATCTTGAAAATACATTTAACTTTAATGCTCTTCTTTGCTTATAATGAACAAAATGTCCCAAGTAGTGCTTAAAATACATTTTGAGCAAACAGGAGCTGCATCTGGAATCCTGGTTAGTGGGAAGTGCAACTGTTTGGAGAAACTTAATTCTTTTTTTTTTTTTTTTTCTTTTCCTAAGCAAATGCTCTGGAAAGTTCATTTTATATCAGCACAGCTTTTTCTCGAACCTGTTTTAAAGTTAATTATCAAAAGCTCGCATCTTCTGCCTCTTGCCTATGGATCCCTGCTGGGTTTGTTGTTTAGCATTCCTTGGGAAAGAGCTGCTCTATGGAAGATCACTGACATGATGTCACAGTCCAGGGACTCTAAGCGTCCTAGCTAATCAGCTTAGAACATCAGTACCTCCTTAATGTGGGATTGGGGACCTTCTGGATGCAGGGCGAGGAGCGGCACCAGTCTGCAAGCACATCACTTTATTTCTTCTGCTTTAAGCAAGAATAATTTGCCTTTTTTTCTCTCATCTTTCTCCCTTGCTGTTTTGTCCCTGAAAACCGGGCAGCCAAAGCAAGCTGGAGGGTGGACACTAAATCTTCTGATGCAGGCAGAGCAGTGATAACATCTGAACTGAGGGTGCTTTTCCAGGGCACGCTTGACAGATGTAGTGGGGCCCTTTAGGATTTAGTGCTGGAGCGTATCTATTACGGAGCTGCGGCACAGCTTGGCAGGGGCTGTGTGGAAATCTCCCATGAATTCGCTCTGACTTATCAGGGCGGTTGAGCAGGTTGCTACAGGACTCCTGGGCTCTGAGGCCGCTCAGGAAGAGGCGGACCTTCCAAGGGTGACTATTTGAACTTCCTTTCTGCAGGGTCGCATTGCAGGAGTGGGATTCTCTTGTTCTGGAACTTGCAGCTCCCCAACCCCTTAGCCTTTGAAGGTGTCATGTGGCATTTGCTTTTACCATCCCTCTTCCACCAGCTTCTTAGAATTTCAAGGGCCCCAATTAAATTTCTAGGATAGCTAGTAGGGCCAAAGTGATTGCTTTGTGGGGTAGCAGCATGTTAGGGTCTGTGATCGGGGGCCAGGAAATCGGATGCTTGCCAGAATTGCTTCTTTTCTCTCTCCCTTTCTATCCCTATTTCTTCCTTCCTCCTTCCCTTCTTAACCCACTTCCTTTTTCTCTCCTCTTAATTCCTCACTGCCTGCACTTCCTCCTTCTCTAACCCTCAACTTTCCTCCACCTCTCATCTTCATGCTTCCTTTCCCGTTCCTTTATGTTCTGACTTCCTTTCTTCTTGGACCCTTTCTCTGTCTATCCAGCCTAACAACCCAGCATCTTCCCTGGCTCCTGCCCATGAGTCTCATTTAGTTCTAGGAGAGTGCACTATTGGGCAACCCAAACTCCTCTGCTTCAACAATCACCTTGGCATTTTGTAAAAATACCGCAATTGATCACAAACATCAAATTGTTTAGATCGCAGATTAAACTTTAATTTTGGAGTTTTGCTGTAGGGTTAGAATTAGCTGCAGAGTGTGTGCCACAGAGGAGGTGCTGTAATTTGTTTTAAGGATAAGGCCTTCAGGCAACTGTGCATAAAATGAGTATGATTCCTTATTCCCACGGTTGATTTTTGAATGGGAGTGCAATTAGAATTTTTTTTTTCCCAGAAGCGCATACAGTCAGAGCAAAGATAATACCATGAATGCATATCAGCTTAGGAGACCTCTCTTGGAAATTTATTTATTGTTCACCAAGTCCTAATACAGACAGAGCCACACTTTCCATAACAACGACAAACTCGCCCTTTCAGTTTAAGTCTGTGTTTACAGAGCCTTCAGTGTTTGTGTTAGCACCGAGATTCTGATGCTCGGTCTTAGTGGGCGTGGCTATATTTCTTCATAGAACAGGCTCCTTTAGAAAACATGTCTCGGCACAGCCGTGACCCCTCTGTACTCTATGGTGGCACAGTCCTTCCCTTCAGGGAATTTCACTCCTCAGTGTTCTGGAGCAGCTCTGCCATGGAAGGTGGTAGGAAGCCGGAGTTTTCTGAGGTGACTGCCCACACTTGTTCTTCCCTGGGTATATTGGCACCAGTGTCCACAGTGTCCTTAAGCCACCAAACATTGACTGGCCAGTGTAAAGGGGGTACTCTCTCTCCCCACTCCTCCTCTTTACCACTCTCCCTCGCACTCATTTTCTCTCTCTCTCCTTTCCCCCACTCTCTCCCTCTGTTTATCTAATTTTTTTTTTCTTCACTGTATTGATTTACAGCTTCCTAAGGTAACAGGCTATGTGTTTTTTTTTTTTTTTTTTTTTTTTTTTTGGAAAAAACTTCATCTCACTGAGGTTAGTAAATAAGGACCCTATGCTTTCATGTCTTCAGATAAATCTCACAGACTCTTTGGCTCTATTTTTGAAGGACATTTGGGACCATCCATGAAACCATCCTCTGCAATTGCTCTCGGCCCCGTGCTAACAAGCTTAAAGACATACACACCAAGCCTCTTCAGATAAACACGAGTGGATCAGGGCAAATGCTCAGCACCTGCGTTTTTGATTCTCTCATGGGAAGGGGCAGTTTTATAATTGAGTCAAGCAGGTGCCCTGCGTGTTAGACTCGGGTAGGTTTACTAGCATAGTCCGAATGTTCCGTGGGCGGTAGTCAGGCAGCACAGAAGCCAGAAAGCATGTGCCTGCCCAACACGCGCAGGCTGCTTAGGAAATGAGTGTGCTTTGTGATTTAGAGCTCTGTAGTCTGTCAGGTGCTGAGACTGCTGTGAAAATGTGATCAGCCTGTTAAAGACCCTCATGTCATTATTGCCTTTTTCTTGGAAATAAAACCTTGGCACTATGTTTTGACCTCAAGGCCTCATTTCTTGAGGCAACAATTCCTAAATAGTCTCTCATTTTTACCTGCCTCCTCCAATTTCCCCACAGAATTCAGTAAATATCGTTATTTGTAGTTTGATTCTTCTTAAAGATGTTTAAACCTTTAACATAATTAGTCCATTTCCCAACTTCCCTTTCTTCATCCTAAATCTTCCCACATGCTCCCCCTTTCTCTCTTTCAAATCCATGGCTTCTTTTTCATTAATTTCCTTTACATATATGTATATATAAATATATTCCTAAATCCATAAATTCACCCGCTCAGTCTGTATAATGTTGCTTGCACGTTTGTTTCAGGGCTGGTCATTTGGTGCTAGATAAACAATTGGGGTGTTCTTCCCTGTGGAAGACAATTTCTCCTATTCTCTGTATCCCTTCGTCACCTGGCATTCATCCTTTAAAACACTGTCCTGAATTTTCCTATTGATGCAAACTGTTTGTACACTTTCTCTTTTTGAAAACTTGAGGTCACCTTACTTTGCAAATTAAAATTTCCACTTAATATAGTTTAGCTACATTTTCAATGTCAGTAAAGGTGCATCTACAGAGTCACTCTTACAGGGCAACAATCGTTCTAGTATTTGGTTGTAATAAACAATTTTACAAATCCTTGATGTTGGGTATTTGGGAAATTTCAATGTCTTGAGCTAGAGTTATCATTTCACATTATGATATTTAAATTTTTGTACTTCCCTGATTATCTCTATAAAATAAATTCAAATTCTTAGAAGCAGACTGAATGACTCGAAAAATATTAAAAAGTATGTGTGTGTGTTCATGTAGTTCTGCACGTCTCTCCTTGTCCTTTGAGGCAGGGTCTCTCACTGAAAAAAGGAGCTCACCAATTTGGCTAGACTGTCTGGCTAGCAAGTGCCAGAGCTTTGCCTGTGTCTGCAACCACAGCACACTGCTGTACCTGGCCTTTTAGATGGGAGCTAGAGTCTGAACTCAAGAAGAAAGGACTACAACTGAGATTTCTCCTCCCCTTCAATTTTAAAAAAATGAAGGCTTTTGAATAATTTCCTTAAATTATACAATTCAGTATGCAATTCAGTTATGCAACTTTATACTCCTCCCAATTGTGTGTATAGAATACTTTTGTGCTGAGACTTCCTACATTGTCAGCTTCAAACTTATCAGTCAAAAGTTGATATATGAAGTTTTACTGCTTCATTGTTGTAATTTGTGTCCTTTCAGTTTTTCTGGGTGCTTTCCTATAGTGGGTATTTGGTGCTATTCTCCCCTTGTCCGATTTACATGATGGTGTTTGGTTTTGTTTTTTTTTTTCCCCTTGGGTATGGAAGATGTGCTCAGTTCCTGAAATGGGAACTGTAGTATTGAGATGGGGTAAGTGTTGGGTAATCCATGGTCACTTGAATTCACACAAATGTACCAAGGGGTAGACTATAGAGAACCATCTATTTTATAGAATGGGACAGCTCAGAAATTTACAGATATTTGAGGAAATGATTAAAAATGACTGAAAGACCGCTCACTGTAGATTGAAA